GCCCCAAAATGCACAGTTTCCTGCCGTTGGGGCAGCGCTGTGGGCACACACATGGTAAACATGCGATACAGCCCTCTGTGCCTCGGGGCACACATAGCGTGGCAGATGGCTTGGAGGGATAGACCAGTACAGTGGAGCTCAGCACCCCACGGTCGTGCCCCGGTGATGGCTGGGAGGGGGCTGCAGTGCTGCTCCCAACACATCCCAGCTCAGGGATGCAGAGAGCAGCATCCCCTGCCCCGGCTGGCACTTCCATTGTGTCTGTGTCCCTGTCCTGGACCAAACATGGTCGTGGTGACCCCAAATTCCTGTGCCCAAATCCAGCTGGGGAGGGAAGCTGCTCCTGCCCCTCTGTGAGCCTGGGGATGGCAGGATTTGGCCCACGAGGATGATGAGCACTGGGTTGGCATGGTCCCCAGAAGGGTTCCCAGTCTGGGGATCCAGCTGCCTTCTGAGCTCCAGGACAGCAGGATTTGGTCGATGGGTGTGCTGAGGGGATGCTGAGCACCAGGCTGGGCTGCTGTGAGCTATGGCATGGTCTTCATGGGGGTTCCAACCCTGGGAGTCCTGCTGCTTCCCATGCCAGTGGCTGAGGATGAGGGACCCTATCCAGCACCTGGAGCAGCTCACTGGTGCATTGTGCCCCTCAGCACTCCTGAACAATCAGGACCTCATGGGGACAGGACATTTCCTGGCCCTAAGAGCTGGTATCATCTTCATTAGCAGGGTCCAACCCCTGGTCAAAACTCATCCCTCCCATCTAGAGGAAGGGAAGAGATGGAGCAGGCTGGAAGAAAGGGAAAACCAGAGGAATAAAGAAGCCACCCCCTCCCCAAGCCCCAGGGCTTTGCTTTGGACACTGCAAATTAGATTTTCTGAAAAGGAAATGTTTTACAGGCCATAAATTGTCTCAGAAGAAAAGGGGGAAGGGTAAGGGGGGGCAGAGAAAATTGTGCAACTTTTTTTTTTTTTGTGGATGGAAAAATGGGGGTAATGTGGCCAGGGCACCATGGCAGGAGCCAGTTGAGAGCTTCCACCACAGTGCTCCGGCTCCTGTCTGGTGCCTGCTAGGTACCCGTGTGCCGTTCTGTCTTTGGCTTCCTCTGTCGCTTTTTGCCTTTATTTTTGGGTTCAGTTCTCTCTGGAACAGAAAAAAGATCAGAAAAGGAAGGCTCACTTGTTGGCCAGGCAGCATGATCTGGCCCAAGCCCCATTCATGGGATGCCGATCCTATATCCTCCCTCAGGGGTTAGCACTTGACCCAGTTTCTGATTTGGGGGACCCCAGAGCCCTCTGGGGCCACAAAACAGTAGCATGAAGGGGTCTGGGTGTGCTGGTGACATGGACAGAGGGACACCAGTGTGTTGTCCCCACAGTTCTCATGGCCGGACTCTAAATCCTGATACCCCAAAATCCCCAGAAGTGGGCAAGGGCAGCTCAACCAAGGTGGGGAGTGCATAGAGACACCCCAACTTCTCTCTGAACAAGGACTAGTCCTTTCTCAGAGAGATGATGGTGAGACATAGATGCTGGAGAGGGACAGTGGCTGCACCAACACCCCAAAGACATGGCATAGCCATGCCCAGCTCTGCTGTGGTGCAGGAACATGCCTCCCTTCCCTCTGGAGAGGAAGGTGGGAAGGTGCTGCCCACCAGTGTGGGACCCAGACAGCCCCTAGGAGGACTGGTGGGAAGCAGGGCAGCCTCGGGGTGCACCCATGCATAGGTGTTAATGCTCTCCCTGGAGATGCCCTCTGTGTGTGGATGCTCTCCACCCCTGTGAAACAACCGACATGGTGGTGGAGCCTGGATGCATCCCAGTAAGGCCAACCCACTGTCAGGACATGGGGCTGCTGGACTCAAATCTCTGTGCACCCTGAGGATTTGCCTCACACACCCTCCAGCTAGTCCAGGTTCAGGCACTGAGATGCCAAAGCAACAGGGTTTCAGGACAAACCCTGCCATGCCACAGGCTCCAACAGAAAGGGAAGTCCATGCTGGGGACTGGAATGGTTGCCCCAAAAACTGTGTAGTTTTGTCTCCCCTTCCCCCACTGCACCCACCCCAATCCAAATAACATGAGGGGATCTAGTGGTAGTCTCCCCACACAGCCCCAACATGCAATGGGCACAGGGACCATGGCTGTTCCCGGTGCTGCTTATGCCAGCACTGTCATCTCCAGTCCTTTCCGACGGCTCCAGCTCTTGTCCTGCCCGGCTGTTTTTCGGCTCTGATCTCCCAGACAGTTACCACCCACAAAGGAGAGGGCACGGCACGCATGCGAAGCGTCTGGAGAGCGGGACAGACACCCAAGGCAGATTTACAGCGGCGTGAGGGGTTTGTGCCTCGGCCAAGCGCAGCAGCTTCTCCCTTCCAGCCGCCTGAATGGCTCAGAAGTGGTGGCACAAATCTCTCATCACACGGTCGGGTACGGCCGCCTGTCCTGGCTCGCCTGGGCTGGGGGTGTCTCGGCTGCATCAAGTGAACTCCCCGTCCTCCTCCAGCATCTGGATCCCATAACTCAGCACTTGGCTGGGCAGGCAGGAGCCTGGGAGTGGGGACGCTGAGCAGCCCGCCCAGGAGCTGCAGACACAGAAGGGCTGCCCTCTCTTGGGGGGGCTGCTCAGGGGGCACTGATGGGATTCCCTCTGCCTGACCTGTCTCCGAAGCTGATCCCAGACAGCAGCTTCCAGGGTAGAGTCCTGGCCATTCCCTAAGCCCATCACCTAAGCCTGGGGGCTCCCAGCTTGCAGGAGCAGGAGCCCAGGCAGAGGCAGGAGGCCAAATGTTTTTCTGGTGTGACACTGCCTTCCCAACCACCTCACAAGACAGGGTGCCCATGAAACACCAGTGCTGTAGTCCCTGCCAGTGGGATTCGCTGTGTGCCAGGGAGGGCCGGGCATGGGCACGGTGACATGGGACATGGTGCTCTGGAGCAGCCTGTCCTCCCACGCCAAACTTCTCACATCAAACTGTCACCAGCTCTGCGGGTCCAGAGCTGGCAGAGCCCAGCAGGGAGGGGAACATCCTCAAAATCAATGCCACCTGGTACCCCAAAGATGGGAGTCAGGGCCTGGGTGGGGAAGGGAATCAGCTCCTCTGCTCTGTCAGCAGGGAAATATTATGATTGATGGAGCTGGGATAAAGCCACTCTCCTGGCTCCACGGGCTTAGCCCAGCACGCACGTCCTCTGCTATTGCTCCCCTTCTCCATCCTTTTCCTGTCCACCCTCACAGTCCTGTCCTCTCTCGTCCCTGCCACGCTGGCGGTGCTGGCCAGCGCGTCCCACGCCACAGAACGATCCCACAGCTCCGAACTGCAGCCCTCAGTGGCTGATCTGCTGCCAGACCCTATGGATCAGTATCTCATGCATCCCCCTTTCCGCCAGTTATTAAGTGGAGATTTATTAGGATAGCTTCAATCCAGCTGCCTGCATCCAAAAATGACATCAGCTACGTCCTGGTTCCCATCGCCAGCCCTGCACCCGCGCACGCACCGCCTGGCCGGACCCTGTGGCAGGTCTGGGTGTTGTGAGAGGTGGGAAGATCCCTGAGCCAGGAGCCCCCAGCCTGGGGATGAGCTGGGGGGAGGCACAGGAGCATGAGTGAACATCTGGCCGGATGAGCCATGGAGGGGAACTCTACCCTGGGGTGTCTTCCAGAGCTTTGGCCATCAGAAATCCTTTGGGTGATACTGTCCCACACCATGAGTGCTCCGTGTATTTGGGGAGCTCAAAGGTTTTTGCAGGAACCTTTCCTGTGTGTCTCAATCCTCCTAACTCACAGCTGTGGTGCAGGAAGCCCTGTCCATGCCGTTCCCCTCACATCACAGCAGGATGGGAGCTGGAGCTCGGCAGCCTCATCCCACCACAGCAGATCATGCCAGCGCCTGTCCCAGTCCAGTGTGAAGGGGACACTGGCCAGTCCCAGGCAGTCTCGGGGACTGCCAGGTGGGAGCAGTCAGCCTTAGGGCTGCTCAGCACATGTGCCTGACACAGCAGCTTTCCCTAGAAGCAGCCTCAAAATGCTTAGGAGATGACAGCATGGCTTTCCAGCCACCTCCAGACCCCTGCTCCTACTATCCCCCTCCCACAGTGCCCCTCAGGGCTCACTTTGGAGGGGCACAAAGCTGCATCCGGCCCCGACGTGGTGCTCACCTCCCGGGCAGTGCTTCTTCATGCGGCACCTCCTGGTCTCCTGCTGCGCGGGGCAGGCAGTTCCCTCCTCCCGGGCAGCCTCCGGCACCTCCCGCACTCTCGTCTCCACACCCCACTTGCAGCCGCAGGTCCGGCTCTCGTGGCTGCAGGTGCTCCACTTGCTCCACGGCCCTGGCTCACATGTCTCTGTGGGGACATGGGGGCACAACAGGGACTGTGGCCCCGAGGCACTAGGCACATCCCCAGGGATGGCAGGAACGGGGTGTGGATGCTGCTTACCTTGGCACTCGCGGGGGCCCGGCAGGCTGTGCCACGGTGCTGGGGGGGCACTGCCGAAAACACTGGCCCTTGTACAAGTAAAACTTGTCCTTGCACTTCATGCAGAAGTCTCTGCTGAAGCAGCTCTCACAGCTGGGAGACCTGCACTCTGCCAGGAGGATGGCTCGTCAGTGTGAGACCCCAAGGCATGTGGCAGCCCTGGCACCCACTGTGTACCCAAAGCCTGCAGGGTCCAGCCTGTAGCTCTGGGCAAGGGTAATGGGGAGGAAGACCCACAGCCCAGCTGCCCCTGGATCCATGCCTCCATGCCAACAGGGATGCTGTGGGAAATGAAGCCATCGCCCTTCCCACAGCACCAGGACCCGCAGGGCAGCGAGGGAAGCAGGGGGCACCGGTAGGAGCAGGGGGACCCCAGCTGGCACAGGACATACTTGTGCATCTGTTGACCTCCAGACCCCTCACGCCGAAGTAGCCGGGAGGGCAGGTGTGGACACACATCCCATACTGGCGGATTCCATCCCTCCAGATGAGCAGGAAGAGCCGGTGGTGGCAGGTGATGCAGCCATTGTCCTCAGAGCACAGGACGCAGCCCGTGCAGTTTTCCAGCAGGCCAGCACTCGCTGTGGGGACAAACGGAGGACAGGGGCTCTGGCATGGCTGTGGCACAGGTGCCAAGGTGCCAGGGAGTGCCTCACTCTTGTGTCAGCCTCTCTCCAATGTAGCAGTGTGACAGCACTGTCCTGTTCCCCTGCAAACACCTCCCCACCTCTCGCTCTCCAAATCCCCATCTCTGCCTGTGCTGGCAGCATGGGGACACACAGAGCCATTGCTCCCAGCTTGGGCATCGCTGACAGCTTCCATCACTCCAAGGTACAGACTGAGGGCTCACCCCACACCCAGCACTGTCCATGGGTGCCAGGAGACCCCCATCCCCAGCCAGCCATGCCCATCCCGTGGGAAGAAAACTGCTGGGTCAGAGGGTAGAAATAAGCTCTGACCTGGATTAATCAGTTGATGCCTGTTAAGTGTCAAGGGACAAAGAGCATTTTGGAAGCACTCAAGAGGAGCCAAGATAAGGATCTGTCTGGTTGCTCAAGAGCCTCTGCCGCCTCCCTGGCTGCCTTCACTGTGCTCCTGACCTGCAGGAGGGCAGCTGGCCTCGAGGTGGGCTCTGCTCCCAGGGGCAAGGATAGAGTGCCAGCACCAGCCCACAGAGACAGAGCCAACCACTCCTGCTCCCTGAGCTGACTCCCTGTGCCCACAGTAAAGCATCTGGGAGGCATACTACACAGGGATGTCACAAGGGCATTTTGGGAGCTGGGGAGCTAAACCCCAAGCACTGGGGGCTACACACGCCCCGTGTCTTTTTGCACCTCCAGGCTGGCTGTGCATCACTGTAAGGGGCTACTGAGCTCCTGCACAACACGTGTCTGACGTCTTCACTGTACCCAGTATGTTGGGAAGTATTTGCTTGGCTTCAGCATCACAGGCTCCCCTGAGAGCTCCTGAGCCAAGGCTGGAGTTGAGCAGCGGTGACAGTGCCTGCAGCACCAGTGCTGCATGCCTGGGCCCTAGGTTCAGCAATAACAAAATCATCTCTCTATTATCAACCTTGTGTTCTGCACAAATCCTATACATAGCCCTATACCAGCCCCTGTGAGGAAAGTTAGCTGCTTCAGCCCAAAGCAGCACAGCTTCCAAACCAAACCATTCTCAGTCACAAAATGGTTTGGAAGGGACCTTAAAGATCATCTCATTTCAACCTCCTGCCAAGGGCAGGGACACCTTCCAGCAGACCCGTTGCTCCAAGTCCCATCCACCTGCTCATTGCTGCCCAGCACGGACATGGGCTCAGCCCTGAGAGCAATGCCTGGGGGCACTGGTCCCCTCTGACCCCAGGAGCTGCAGCAGAAGGGCCCCACAGCCGCATGGCTGGGGCAGAGGGCTGGTGGCAGCAGCAGTTAGTCGGTGCTGGGGAAGCTGGGGAGATGCTGGCAGAAGGTGCTGGCAGATGATGATGGCAGACAATGTCTCACAGCCCTGTGTGCTGGTCCCTGGCATAAGCCAGTCCCTGGTGCTGTGGTGCCATGTAGCTGACCCGAAGCTAGTTCATCCCGGTCCCCTCACTGGGGCACACAGGCTGGGATGGCAGCACTGCCAGGAGTCTTCATTAGAGCTGCGTGTGCTGGGAGCGCTAACGAAGCACCTTGGATCCATTAAGTTGTTATGGTCTCCGTTACATATTTACCAAATGCTGACAACATTTGTGTTCCTGGCTGCAGCTGGAACGGCTTCCCTGGAGACCCGGGGATTTACGAGCCTCCTTCCCTTCCCTAATTCTTTTTGATGTTTGCTTTTTTTTGCTGCTCTCCTTCTAGTCCCCAGTTGGGGTAGGGAAGGTGGGGAGCCCTGGGCAGGCTCTGGAGCCTCCTTCTTCTCACTAGTTTTGGAAACAGCCCTGTGGTGCAGAGCTGGGAGAAGTGTGGTCCTGCTCCTCCACCCTGCAGGGCTGCTGGCATGGCACATACCTCTGCCACTGGGGGCGACACCAGGACACAGAGCTGTGCCGCGCAACAGAACATGGCTCACAATGAAACTGTAGGACCAGGGACATTATGGACAAGTGGTAGGTTCTTCTCCCTCTGAGAATGGCAGAGTGTGGGTCTGAGCTGGGATGGACACTGGGCAGGGGGCACAGCAGGTACCTGAGCTGTGCTGGACATCAGTGAGACATCCCCCATCCCTGCACACCCTGAGCCCAGTCCTACCAGGCACTGGGAGTCTCCAGGGCACTGGGCTGCCCGGATCGGAGCTCCAAGTGGCAGTGGGGTGGCTGTGGGGTGCTGCAGCATCTTTTGTGTCTCCCAGCCCCCAGAGACTGTGCTCCCAACCCTTCCATGCTGGTTATCCCAGGAGATACAATATGTTTAAGGTGTGAAGTCATGAGCAGATCCCAAGGTCCTGCCAGGACCTGAGGCCCTTGAGCATCCCGGAGCATTGGGCCACTCAATATCAAACACCAGTCGCTGGAGCAGTGGCCCCACAGCACCTGGATCTCTTCTAGGTGCCAAGTTTTTCACATCAGGGGTGTTTTGGCCGCCAGCCTGGCCACCCACATCATCACAGGCACCTACAGCCTCCGCATGCCTTTAACATGGAACAACTTCAAGGGAAGCTGTCTGGGCTCCAGAACCGAGAGCCCTGGTCCTGCCAGGTCCTGTTCCTACCCTGGCACATGCTGGCTCCAAAACCAAGCCATTCCTGGCACAGAGCTGAGTACCAGCCCTTGCCCCACTCCCTGCAGCTAACTGGCACTGCCTGGCACTGCCCAGCAAGGGGACATGAGCCAGTGCCCAATGGAGGGTGCACGTGCCTCGGCACAGCCCCAGCACACCCTGCCCTTGCCCAGGCATTGAGCAGCAGCTTGGCTGGTGCCTCTGCCTGGGGGAAGGATGGGGCAGGGAACAGGCAGTGCCTGATATGGCTCTGAGCATCCTTCCAGGAGATTTTACTCCCCACGCACTTAGTGTGTTACGCAGAGAAGAGAAATACTGGAAAATCAGCCTGTCCTGTGCTATCCTCACTGTGTCTGGCTCTGCTGGGGTTTGCAGAGCGGGTCCCACTGCCAATCAGTGTCCCTTGTCCCACACCACCCCAAGAGTAGGGCTGACACTGGGCAGGCAGTGCCACGGGGCAGCACTCTGGGATGGATTGGGGGATGCTGGTTCCCTGCACCCTCCAGCCCCAGTTCACATCTTCTGCCTGCCCCGTGCAGGCAGAACAGGCAGCCTGGTGTCCCCAAGTTGTCCCACAACACCCGAGCGGGACAAGCCCACCACGCACACTGTACCTTGCTTCTTCCATCGGTTCTGCGTGAGCATTTCCATGGAGCTGATGAATAACAGCAACATGAATATTATCCACTGCATCTGGGCAGGAGTGATTTCGGGCAAGGAAGGAATCAAATCATCCAAGCGGCTGGTGGGCTCGGCTCCTGCCAGAGCCGGTGAGGGGCGGTGGGAGGGCAATGAGCGGCTCCGGGCTCACACCATCCCCCCCCGGGCTCCGGGCACACAGCCACTC